TTCCCAAGGACCGGCACCCCTGTTCTTGAGGCTCCCCCTGACTGCTCCCAGCCCACCCGTGAGCAAACAGCCCTTCTGTAAAATTCCCTATAAATGGCAGCAAGTTCTCCCCACGCGCTGGACTGGGACCAGGCTCTGCTGGAAAATTGGCCGAAATTTTGTGTGTTTTCCTCACAAATACTCCGAGGCACTGGCAGCTTGGCTGTGCCACCAAGCCTTCTCCTCCTCCTCCTCGCCAGGATGAAAGTCTGCTGAGGGGCAAAAACTGGTGAAGATTTGAGCACAGTGAAGTGGTGCAGCCCCCCGTTTAGATCTGAGCCATGGGCAGGAGACAGGAGCACAGCAGGGATTAAAACACAAGCCTTTAAATTATTTTCTGAAAATGTCTTTTAAATTTTATATTTTAACTAAAAGAGATCTATTTCAGGAGCGGGGTGATTCATAGTTCCGTGTTTCAGATGGGAAAAGCCTCCTGGGACCCCTCTCTGCGGGCCTGGCCTCCTGCCCGGGATGCTGCCCTCTCCCTGCAGCTGCTGTTCCCAGAGCAGGCACGATGGGCAGCGCAAGGCAGTGTGCCCACACACCCCCCTGCATCCCAGCCTGGCACTGCACAGCTTTCTGCCCCTTTCGGGATCCCAGCTTGGCTTGGGAATCCTCACAAAGGGTGGTGTGGCTGTGCAGAGCGAGATGGGCGAGTCAGGGGCTGCTGTCCCACGGTGGCCACCAGGGAGCCCTTGGCATGGCAGGAGACTGTGCTGGGGCTGGTGGGTACCCAGGGATGGACGGCATTGGGAGCGATGGCCACCCAGGGGTAGACAGCACACAGGGGCCACCCAGAGGCTGATGGCACTGGGACAGCCCCGGAGCGCTCGCTGGAGCAGCTGGTACCGCCGAGAGTGGCACCACCTTCCCCAGAGCGGGCCCAGCACAGGCAGCCCCGGGCCCCCTGCCAGCACCTCCTCCCAGCCTCTCTCCTTTCCCAGCGCTCACCGTGGCCCCCCTTGGCCTCTCCTCCCACTCCTCCCATCCTCCAGCACGGCCGCATTTTTCTGGGTTTGAGCTCATTCTTTCCACTCCCCTCTCCGCCGGCTGCCAACTTTCCATGCCGTGGCCCCGCTCCCCCGCCTCCTGCCACAGGGAAACACCGGCTGCAGCTGCGGGAAGAAGCACAGCAGCCAGGAGCCCCCGTCCCCGGGGTGCAGCCCCCAGCCCCGACGCTGTGTGAACCTCGGCATCGCCTCCAGCAGAGCCTGGAACCGGGAGCTCCAAGGCAGAGCAGCAGGAGCAGAGCAGCAGCAATGCCATGGGCTAAGCAGCATGGCAAAAAAAAAAAAAAAAAATCTGAGAACCCACGTCCCCATTTCTGAGGGCAAAACTTTGGATTTGCACCTCTGGAGAGATTAGTTTCCCATAGGGACAGGGCACATTCCAGTGTCCCATCTGTGCCAGGCACTGCCAGTGGTTCCCCACGGTCTGCCCACAGAGCGAGTGGAAATTCCCGACCCGGGTAGGAGGCACAGCTGATCCTCCCTGGCATCAGGCCCGGGATGCTGAGCAGGTTTGCCCATGGTATCCCAGCTGCTGGATGGCAGCACAGCCTAAAAACAACAGGCAAAGCCCACACAGCTCCAGCATTGCCTCCCTGCGTGCCCGGCGTCATTCCCTGCTGGCTGCAGCCAAGCACGTCCCTTCCTGCTGTGCCATCCTGCCCCCTGCCCCTTCCTGGAGCCACCAAGCACCCAGATCCCTGCCCAGACTGCGGCTCCCACGGTGCCCAGGGCTTTAGACCTGCAGCTCAGCACAGCTCAGCCCTTCCCACAGGCTTTTCCAGAGCTGGGAAATGCAGGGGGCTTCACAGGGGAGGATGCTGGACCAGTGGGTGAGGAACTGGGACCTCCACCAAGGGTGGCCAAAGGAAGGCCTGGACAGAGGGTCTCCCTGCCCCAAGATACTCCAGCTAATGGAGGAGCCACCCAAGGGCTGGCCAGAGCAGGAAGCAGATCCTCAGCTCTGGCATAGGCGAGGAACAGAGCTTCAATCTGACCATGTGGCTCTGGGACGTGGCTCCCCAGGGCAGGGACCCAGCAGAGAACAGCACCTCCCTGATGTGGTTTATTCTGCAGATCAAGGGTTTCCCCATCACACCAGTACAGAGAGAGCACAGAAACACACTGGTGCCAGTGAGACATGGCACAGAGCCCTGGCCCAGCAGGGTCAGGGTGCCAGGTGATGCCGCTGGTGCTCCCCTGCCCCCTCTTCCCAGCCAGGCTCCAGGCTATCCAAGGTGGACAATGCCACGGTGCCCCTGCCAGTCCCGGCTGCCCTGTGCAGGACAGCACTGTGAGTGGGACCTGCCACACTCCTGGTAGCCTCCAGCCCTGCTCTGGGGCACAGCCACCCCTCACCTCCGGCTCTGCAGGAGCAGCTGTGATCCAAAACCTCACCACTCCAAGTGCAGGTACCCATCCCATCCTCCACTCCACGGACCTGATCCCACTTATCCCCTCTCCTGGTGGGAATGGCTGGATCCAGAGCACCTTCACATCCCTCAGCACCAGTGGAAACAGCTCCACGTGCTCAGCATCACTGCAGGCCAGTCTGAGCTCTGCACTGGCCACTGGCCACGCTGCTGGCAGAGCGCAGAGTCCCAGCCGGCGCGCGGGGAGGGACAGGAGCGCGGCTCTCAGAGCACGGACAGGTCATGGCAGGACTTGGAGCGGACTTTGAGGGCCACTTTGCTGCTGTTCCTGGTCACCAGCCTGTCGAGGAAGTGCCGGGCTCTGCTGGCGAGGCTCTCCTTGTGCTTCTGGCCGGGTGGGGGGTGCAGGTGGGACTTTTTGCCCCCTTGGCGGAGGCGGATCTGCCGCACCACACCCTCGAAGAGCTCGTCCACGTTGTGCTGCAGAACCGCTGACGTCTCGATGAACTTGCAGTCAAAGACAGCAGCACAGGCCTGGCCCTCTGCAAGGGAAGGGCAGGGAGAGGGCACAGCCCTGCTGGTATCTCAGGTGCTGTGGGACGGGCACTGCCACATGCACGGCAGCAGCTGCACGTCCAGGGACAAGGAGACAGATGCAGGGGAAGCAGCTGGGCATGGAGCCCCCTCAGGGGTCTCCACCAGAGCCTTCACCCCTTACTCACCTTCCTCGGACACCTCCCGGCAGCGCACCAGGTCGGTTTTGTTGCCCACCAGGATGATGGGGATGTCCTCGGCCTGGCGCGCCCGGCGCAAGTGGATGCGCAGCTCCGAGGCGCTCTCGAAGCTGTCCCGGTCAGTGACAGAGTAAACGATGATGTAGGCGTTCCCTATCTGCAGGCAGTGGCTGCGGCGCTGGCTCTCCTCATCCTGCCACCACATGGGGAATGAGATGTCACCAATCTGTGGCCATGACCACTTCCAGGGGACAGCAGAGCACCCTGGCACTGATGGGACCTGTCAGAGCGCCCCACAGCCCCTACTCTGTGGTGAACAAGTGTGTTACCCTATTAATTAAATGCAGATTAAAAGCTCTTGATTTTGAGGGGAGTGTTTGGGAGTTTTCCTCTCTATCAACAACAAACTGGTGCTGTGGGTTCAGCCTGGTGGGAGGAGGTGAGGCTGAATCCCCTGGGAATGCCCTGGGACAGTGTGGTGGGTACTGCACCCTGGCACTGCTGGGCAGTGTGGGAATAAGCCATGGTGGGAAAAAAGGGGCCTTTGTTGGGGTGTCACAGTTCTGGGGCACCTCTGGGCATTGCAGGTAAGTGCCAAACACAACTCAGTCCATGTGGGTGCTGCACCCCTGTGCACAGCTTGTGCATTGACCCTGTCCTCACTGCCTGGTGGCACGTACAGGAATGCAGGGGCCTGGCAGAAAGGGAAGGAGGGAGGCAGTGACAGCAGCACTGGTATTTCTGCCCAGGAGATACCTCATGTTCTGGGCATGAGGAATGCCCTATGCCAGGCACTGTTCTGTCCGTTAAAGTGTTCTGGCTGGCAACACTGACTCGTGGATTTACCCAGTTGGATTCTTCAGCCCCATTCCCAAACATTTCCATGCATTTTGAAGTTGGTTATCATATAGGAGCCCACACCAGTGAGAATATGGGGGCCAGCCTCCCATGCCCCGGGAGGGTGGGCACAGAGCTGTGCAGAGATGTGACCCCAGCCTGTCTTGCCCAGTGTGTACCCTGTGCTCCAAGGTGGTGAGCCCCAGAAATGGACGGGGGGGCCAGGTTGCCCCTCAAAGCACTCAGAGGCCCCAAGACAGCACTTGTGCCCATGCAATTTCCCCAGGCACATCCCAGCTCTCTCCAACACCCAGCCCCGCCGTACCCGCTGCTCTGACTCCCAGGTGTCCAGCACCAGCAGCGTGGTCTCCTCGCCATCCACGGTCAGCCTGCGCTCGTACGCGACCCCTGCGGGACACCGGGAGGGAGAGCTCGGTCAGTGCCGCCCT